CTCACGTCTCTCTCTCGCTCACTCTCTGTCTCTGTCTGTCGCTCACTGTCTGTCTGTCTGTCGCTCACTGTCTGTCTGTCTGTCGCTCACTGTCTGTCTGTCTGTCGCTCACTGTCTGTCTGTCTGTCTCCTTCCCTCTCTGTCTTATTATATGGCTCATTAGACTGATTGTCCGACGGAGTTCACATTTCATTTGCACCTGGCTTCTTAGGCAGAGCTATGAAAATGGATCTACTTAGGTCTTCCGGTACAGGTATCATGAGATCGCTAAAAAAAAAAAAAAAAAAAAGCATAGCACGATGAAAAAGACGCCAAACTTGACAAAAACAAAGTTTTAGCGTCTAAATGTTTGTTATTATTAAGAGGAAAGTTAAAAGTATTTTTAATTATTTTGGAAATTTTTTTTATTCTTTTTAGAACATTCTAAATTTTGATATTTTTTTTTTTTTTTTTTTTTTTTTTTTAAAAAAAAAACTTATTTCTCTTTTTATCACCGGAACTAGTAAAATAACATAAAATTTTAGCGCGTTTTTTTTTCTTTATGACAGGCATTAATTTTGAAATAAAAATTGTCGGATTTTAATGAAACTTTCAGAAACTATTCACAAATGATGGAACTTATTATAAATGTTTTCCTTTTTTAAAGTCATTGCAAAATTTTTTTTTCATATTTATTAAAACTAATTGTACAAAAACTCTATAATTTCAATTTTGGGAAGATTAGTGATTATATTAGTTAAAAGCACAAGTCTTTGAGGAAACTAAATCATGTTTTTAGTTGGACCACCTCTACCCGAAAATCATCTCTGAATTGTAACATTCAAAAGTCAATAAAACAAAAATATTATTTAATTTCAAAAGCTTTTAATTGCTTTTATTTATTATAATGAACATAAACAATATTGTCTGAAAGCAAAAAGATATTTCGATGAAAAATTTTTAAAACAATTATTTGTTACAGTGTAACCCGGATATAAGAGACTTCTTCTCCGGTCCCGACAACTCTCTTATATCCGGGTTACACTGTATTTCTGAAATATTTGATTATATTTACATTGTTGTTAATTCTTCTAAAATTATGGAAAAGTTTGTAAAATTTAACGAATGTTATTAAGGATATATATATATATTTACAGATTATAATTTCCAAAGCTTCTCACAAACTAACGAACAACAAACCGTATATGTATATTAAAAAAAAAAAAAATTGTGTCAATAATAACGCTGTAAATCAAATGTACGGAAGACCGGAAGTATCATGCGTGCAATAAAAAAAACGTCACTGTCTAGTATTTAACTTAAATACTGAATTTTTAATACAATTATTTGTTTCCTTTAATTATAATAGATTTTTACATTTAAGTTGTTAAAATATAAAATTAGATAAAAGCCGCATTCAGTTTCGTAATATTTTGCGAAACACGCGACGAAGTTAATTTTGATTTTTCAATTTCAACTGAGAAGGGTATCTACAAATATCAGTATCATCTTATGAAATCTAAATTTGTATTTTATGTACACCTCTTATAAAATTTAATAAGGTACCTATAAATTAATTAGATACCTTTCTTATGAAATTTAATCTCACTCTTAACAGTCTTATTTTAATTTCTTTATAATATATTTTCCATAAAGCATCGTAAACGTAAAGGTGAAAGCTAAGTACAATTTATTTTTATTTTTAAATTACTGCGCTGGAAGTTTTCCTTAAAAATAACGAGGTAAATAATTTGTTTACTTAAATCTAAATAACTTCACTTCTCTCCCTCCGTAGAAGGAATTATCCTCAAGTAAGCTATCAAAACGTCATGAACATCTTTCGTCACCTGTCAAGTGACGCGAAATGTTATGACCTGGTTTCTTTTATTTTCAAACGGCGTCTTTTCGGCGCAAAAAAGTAAGTTAAGCTTGGTTCAAAATATTTTAAAGATAATTTCTGATTTTCTTAATAAGTTTTGAAAAATTTATAATTGATTTTTAAAAGAATTTCAAACTGAGATTTTCATTTTCTTTTTTTATAAATTGGAAAAAATGGCTGACATGATCGATTATCTGTCAATTTTGCTGACTAAAAAAAATAGATTTTTAACGAAAATTTCCGACGTGCTAGGAACGCATAAAAAATGTAAAAAAAATACCCCCAAAATACTTTGATCTGTTCTCTTAATAATAATATAAACATTTAAATTATAAAGTTTTGTTTTCAAGTTTGGC